TTTTCAGAGCTCTCTCGTTCGTACAGTACGTGTCAGCGTGCGAGCGTGCGAGCGTGCGAGCGTGCGAGCGCGCGAGCGGACACGCAACAGAGGAGGAGAGAGAACGCGCGTGTATACACTCGCGCTCGCACTCGCAGTCGCAATCGCGCTCGCACTCGCTTGCTCGCACGAACACCTACACCGCGCGCGCATACACCCTCCTAGGGGTCGTGTATTCGAGTTCTTTTATTTTGCCCTGTGGAGGTAGCAGAGGGTTGAGTCGAGCGAGAGCGGAGAGAGCGCGAGGGCTGGGGGCGATGACATCGATTTTTTACCCGTTGCTAATCTCAATGTTACCTCCACCTCTTCCTCCTCTACCTCCTCCTCCTCCTCCTGATCTACCTCCACATCCACCACGTCCTCCTCCACCTCCCGTTCGGTCATCTCCATCCCCTTTCTCGTTCTCGCCCCTCCCCCCTCCTTCCCTTCCCGTCAACTCACTTCGTTCTCTCTGCTGTCGCTCCCCGTCCCCTCCGTCCAGCCCGTACCTCGGCCATCCGTTTTGCGGGAAAACGTGCATGTGCATCGGGCACATTCGAGAAGGAATAACCATTTTTTCGTGCTGGACAACACTCGCTCCGCGTCGCCCGCATCCTGCAAATTCTCCTCGTCTCTCGACCGCCGCCTCCGACCACCTCCCGCAATCCCCGACACTATCCCCCCGCATCCTCTGTCTATTTTTTCGTCGAACCTTTTTTCGTCGCCCGTCCTTCTTCTCTACACCCACCTAACCATCCCGGCTCGCTCCCTCCCGCCCCCTTTTGCCACCTACTGTCGAACAGGGCGAAATCGAACTGACGTGGACGCGGCAGTTTTCCATCTTTCTGTTCCCCCGTGGGGGCGATGACATTTTTTTCGGCTCTCAACTTTCAGATCTACGCGGCCGATTCGTCTGACGTGAAAATATCGCCGCGCCGAGGCGACGTCGGCGCGGCGTTTCTGTCGATGCAAACCTGCTACTAAATAATTACGCGTGATTTCACCCTCGCCAATTTCCCGTCGCGAATCGTTTTGAGATTGAACGAAATAATTCAGCCGATTAATGTAAATATAACTGTACGGAGATTCCGTGCGATTATTAATTTTGTTACGAGAAAAGGCGGGGATTTATTCGAAATTGTCATTGGCCCGAGGACAAGAGAGGCGGAAAAAAGAACAAAGATATTTCTTTCATATTACGTACAAAAAGTCACGTGGCAATCGTGAGCTTAATCGCGATCCGATTCGATCGACGCACATTAATGAGTAGCCACCCCCCGCCGCTTGTACGAGGGTGAATCGAGCCACACTCTCATATGTTCGTCGAGCACTCGTCCTCGTGCGACATGTGATTACCATGATGTAACCCCGCACGCGTGTCCTATTCGTTATATACACACAATTCGTATCGCAATCCCTCCCTCACGTTGCACCCCGGCCTCGATTTCTCAATTAAGTTCCGAATTATTCAAAGCATAACTGCGCGATGTAAATAAACCTATGCGCGCAACGATATTAAGTTTCGAATAAATTTCCGGCGTTTACTTGTGTGCAATTTTACAAATGGATCGGTCATTTTGAAAACGACATCTGTCGTTTCGTAGCTTTGGAAAATGGAGGTGGCTAATGGAATGTTTGATAAAACGCGCGCGCATTTGCGGCACGTGTCAAAAGAAACTCGCGCGTGTACGTCTCCATCACATCTGGGCGTTAACGTAAACAACGTGAAAAACAACTTAGAAAAACAACGCGATGGGCTTTTTATTTTTTTATCGTGATTTTTTTTTCCTTCTTCTTTTTTCACTCCTATTTGCTCCCTGAAGCCGATCGATAAGACGCGGATCGCCCGGGACAATTAGCCGTCATTTGGAAATAACGTTTGATTCGATTATCCTTTGTGTGTTCGCAGACGGAAATTGCCAAGAGGTTGAACGCGATAATCGGGCAAGTCCTTCCGTTCCTGGCGCAAGAGGTGAGTCTTTGACTTTCTGTTTGGCACGCGTGCCGTGCGATCTCACAATCGAGTGTGACGACGACGCGATAATGATAGCATGGCATTGCAGCATCAGCAGCAGGTGGCCAACGCTGTGGAAAGGGCGAAGCAAGTCACCATGTCCGAACTGAACGCCATTATCGGGGTAAGTAGCCGCTTACCATTAACCTCGTAAGTCATCGACTTTAATGAGACGGATTGTAAAAGTATTTACCTGAAAAAAAAAAAAAAAAACTTTTAACAACTAGATCGCGTGCTATATATCGATGAACTTGATTTTGTAATTGAACAATTGTTATCTAAGCGTGATTTGACGTGTCTCCCTCTAATTCTTGCAGCAGCAACAGCAGCAAGGTCTCCAGCAGCTCCTGGTGAGTGTTGTTTTACGTAATACTTGATGCATAAAATGTATCGCATTTATTTGCCGAATGACGATGTGCAACCGCTTTATATGATTTTACTTTAAGGTTATCGCATTGTAACAAGTTTTGCCGACGAGAAAAGGGAAAATTATGCGTTAGAAACAGAAAGAATAAAAGGTTACTCGAAAAGTTTTACACACAATTAATTTCAGATTATTCATTGCAATTTTTATAAAGTCGTCATTTATTCAATTCTATTCGATAGTACGTGACTTTAAAACATTATTGGAAATAATCGATACCGGATCGGTATTGATCCGGTATCGCAACGTCAATCACCGGTAGCTCACGCGAGTGAGTTAACCAACGGTATAAACGTTAATGAAAACAAACGCGGAGAGGAGCGCGCGTTCTCGCGCGCGAGAAAAAGAATACGGCGGCGGGAAGGCGGAGAGAAAGGGAAGGGGGGAGAGGTCCACCGTAACAAACGCTTTTTATCTTGACATCGCAGCAACAGATCCATGCGCAGCAACTGCCCCACGGCGCGGTGGTCGGCGGTCTTCCGCCGGGCGGTCTGCTGGGCTTCGCAGGTGCGGCCGCGGCGGCCGCAGCCGCGGGTGTGCCACCGCACTTGGCGCCGCCGCCGCATCCCGCGGCCGCGGCTGCGGTCCAGGCACAGGCGCAAGCGCTGCTGAAGCCCGCCGATCTGCAGCAGCATCGCGCGGCCGCGGAGACGCCCGAGGACCGTAAGCCGATCGCCCTGCCGGACGAGAGGCTCGGCCATCGCTCGGTCTCTCCACCTGAGAAATTTCGCAGCCGCACGCCCGACCTCGAGAGCGAATCCAAGAGACGGAAGGAGGAGAAGCTAGGACACGTGAGTACCATTTACCATTTACCAGCACCGACACACCGGCATCCGGTCGCGCCGATCTTGCGCGACGTCGCGACGCGACGCGCCGATGTGCTCGGATCGATCGATCGGACTCAAGGAGCTTTACATTACAGTTTTGAAATTTGATTTACCGAATGATATCTATATCGTAGTATTCTTCAAAGTGGGAGTCGCGAAATTAATCTAGAAGGACCGCGAAAAGTTCCCGAAATTTTCACTTGTTTAACTTTTGATAGTAATAAATATATGATAAGATTCATGATTATTTACTTAATAAATTTAGAAAATCACTTAAATACAGTAATTAAATAACAGTAGATTTTTAAGTAATGTAGATCAAAGTAAGTAATGCAGATCTTTAGTAATTTTTTTTAATAATTCTAAATTATTAAATTGTAAGTAAAATATGAATTAAATTCCATTCAACTTGGAAACTGAAAAGGAACGCGAGATATTTATATTTTGTATTTTTTGTTCGTGAGGACTGCGACTCAAAAGGGTTTAAAAAATACTGATCTACTTTTTTTTTTTTGGATTCAAAATTGTTCTGCAGCGTGACAGTAGATTCTACAATTTGGAAATTGAATTTTTATTCAGAAATAAGGTATAAATTGTTGAGTGCCGAGACACTCTGTATAATTTTAAAAGTCAAAGCGTCATTTCTGTTTGTGACTTTTCCCCTTTAGAAAGGGGAAAAAAATCAACGCATCGGTAACGCAGGTGCGTGCTGTTGCATTGAATATTGCTCGTTGGTCAGTGCACACTTAACTCCAGAGAGACTCGGCGTAGGAAAAGTTGCGCGTTACGGCGGAGGGTGCGTTTAGCTGAGAATTAAAATGCTAATTGCAGCGACGTCGAAAGCCGATAAAACGGCCGACACTCTGGACGGTCGAAGCGGGGGAGGAGAAGGCAAAGGGTGGTAGAATAAAGAGACGCACGAGCGAGCGCGCGTGTTATATCGCTGGAAAGTAAACGTAAGAGTAATAAAAGGGCCGAGTTAGAATCGAGTTCGAGCCGCATGATAAAGGATAGAAGAGCGTCGATGCTTTAACTTTCACTTAACCATCGAATTCACCGTAAAAAAAGGGAGAGGGGGGGTGAGGAAGAGGGGAAGGATGAAAAGTATACTTGGTAATCTCGCGTGCTGTCTGTATCGACTTCTCTTCGACGGGGGTCGTCTTGAACGTCCCAAATGCGATCACGCAGCGCGGAAGTTTCCATTGAAATCATATTAACTCTCGTTCGTCGCGGGGAAAAAGGAAAAAGGAGGTCCTGACGGACTTTCTGCCGATCAGGAATTGTAGACCGCGAGGATTTTCTTGTCGGATAAATCGGACGCTCTATTTTGCTTAACACCTATTCGAAATGAAGCCGCGTGAAAGTGTGTTTCTCTGTCCTGAGTCACAAGGACAAAAAACGCGAGAGTTCCTCGCGAGAGGTACGGATACGGATGGGAGGACAGAGGGGTTGGCGGCGGGAGGAGACGGGTGTATAATTAAAAACCGTGAAAACAGGCGAACAGTTAGCCGGGTCGTCGTGCGCGCACCGACTAAATTGGATTATTTTTCTCAGTTGCTCCCTTACCTCCTTCGGGCGTCTCACTTAGCCGCCCTTCATCTCTCTTTATCTTCTTCCGCCTCTTCCGCCTTTTCTTCGCTTCTTCTTTCGTCGTTTCTTTCTTTCTTTTTTTTTTTCTTTTTGTTTACCGATTAGAGCGTTCTTACGCGAATTCATCAGCTGGTTATGCATCCCCCCGGTATTTTTTTCTTTCTCGCGCGACCGCGCTCGTTGATTTGCATTAATTATTTATTTAAAAGACGTCATAAAATCGTCGAGAAACGTGGTGGCTATCTATTATACAGGATGAGTCGCGCAATTCCAACGGGTTATATCTCTTTCACAGTTGATGATAGGAAAAAGTGAAGGAGGAAAAAGCTAAACGATTTAATGATGCCTAACTTCTTATGAAGTTACCTTCTTCACGTTGCGTGACTCATCCTCCACATGCGGGTGAAAAAAGAACGCTGGACGCTCCACGAAATGAATCATACCGTAATAATATATAATAAATTATTTCCTTACACAACAATTCTTTAAGCGTGATATTGAATTAGGGAGAGATTGAAGGTATAATTCGGAGCGACGTATTTTGCTCGTCCATTTGCCCTTTTCAACTATCAAGGAACATATATTTCCCAGCGGTTCTTTGCCGCGTTCTGATGACTTCAAACTACCGCCGTTAAAATTGCTTCTCGGACAACCGTATAGTTGTCGCGGGCAATTGTCGTCGCCGAGCTGCTGATGAAAATCAAGGAATCGCGGGCGACCAGCGTCTTGCCCGCAGCTCCCTCCGCGTCCACTTCTAATGCTTCCGTATTATCCTCCCTTCTTTCTGGACGCACTAACGACACGTCGTTTACACGGGCAATCTCTTCGGTCCCAAGAGCGCCGGGAAGTTTGTTTGAAGTTGAGGCACTGTAGACAGATCCGGTCATCAGCTGCATTTCCCCACAGCCGCGTTAAAGTCACGATAAATGGAAGGCAATTTTAATGGCGTTATAAAATTGTCATTACTGTGTAATGACATTACGAGGTAATAGTATTATTTTGTAATGCTATTAACATTTTATATATAATTGTTTGTAAATCTGGGTTCGAGTCTATTTTCATTCGATTTATAATTACAAATCATAATACGGAGGTGTGTGTATGTGTGTGTGCGCGTGCGTGCGTGCGTGTGTGTGTGTATTCATATATATATATATATATATATGATTATATTCATATATATATAATAAAAATAAAAATAAAAATAAAAATAAAAATAAGACCATACATATGAGGTACGAGAATAATATCAACTGTAGAAAGAAAGCGTTCTCAATAAAATATTTATTT